AGTTGTAACACTCTCGTCCTTATTCAGCGGGAACCTCGTTTTCTGATAAGCGACTACCCAAATGTCCCCTACACATTATGAAAGGATGTCATTCCTATGAATCTGAGTAATAAGATCGAGAGACGGAAAGAAAAGAAAAGGAAAAAAAGAAGAGAGGAGAAGGATAACTGTATTCATTACACATAGCCGAGGAACAATCGGATATCCCAATTCATATAACTAACACTACCCTCACTATTCACATACAATGTATAATCCCTGGTCAAATACGGCCTCACCTCGTTCCCATATCAATGATCCAATATCACATACTTAGATAGCTTAATTAACTGCGAAGATTTCAACTCCCGAATGTGTTTTCGAAACGGTGTTATGTTTGGAATAGTTTTCTGTGAACTCATCTTTTAACCGGGTTAGGGATTTCACAATTAGGGACTGACATCTAAGTACGAGATTGCAAGTATAAATTGGTTCCATATTGAAGATTGGCGCAAGTGTCAAGAAGGGAAGTATGGCAGTTGTCACCCTGCCCTTGGTGTGTCTATTATGCATATGTATTGCCGACGAAACTAAAAATACTCTTGACTCGGTCTTATCTAGATAGTTACATTCTAAGCAGACATCATCTTGACTAACCACAAAATTCAAAATCCCTCTCATACCTCCACCATCCACGATCGTACCTCCACAGATCGAGACCAGTAGCAAGACCCTCACAGCCCGTAAAATCGCTCTCAAGCTCAGCCAAGCACTTCTCTATAACCTCCCGATCATCAACTTTATTCATCAAGGTATAATGGCCCCTAAACTTGTTCCTGTCCTGCGGCGTCAAGTGCTCATCCCACCGTGTCTGCAGCTCCGCGCACAACCTCTCAACAGGCGTAAGCCCGGAGACATGGACACCTACACCACGGCCCATGCGGAAAGGCTTCGCGGCGCGGATGCCGAAGGGCGAGATATTGGCGCATAATGATGACAAGTCTGAGGTCACGACGGGGTTAAGAGACTCTGGAAGTGCGTGGAAGAGCGTTATGTGCGCGTCGACTTTCAGGAGATGGGGTGGGAAGTATCGTGTGCGTAGCTCGGACATGCGCTTCTGATGCGTGGGGTCGGTTTTAAGTGTTAGGACGTATACATCTTCTTCTGGGTTTGAGGGAACTGATGGCCGGTCTTGACGTCTCGTGGACGTTGGTTTCTTGGAAGTAGAAGTCATATGTGCCTTAGTTGAGTGATAGACACGTGCTTGTCGCGTAGGGGTTATTATGACTGTTCTGAAGTTATGAAGAAACGATATCCGAGGCATTGGTATGAGAGATCGTTCATAGATTTCATATTTCATCGAATTTTGTGTCCAAACAGGCGAAATCGGAATCGGTATAAGTGTTAGCAGTAGCGTCGATGACATTTCAATAGAACTATGATGATGACGTCATTTGATATTGAGCAGCTGAGTATTAGAATGACCAAATGAGTCTTCATTGGAATACAATGAAAGGGTGAATCATGATTAATATCTTGAAGGAATTATACACTACCAGAATAAACAGAACGGGTGTACGTCAAAATCCTTGCGTGTTAGCTTTTCATATTGTCATAGTATGCGGGGTTGAGAATCTTAGCATTTGTCAAGCTTCATCACGAGCTGTACTATTCATAACTCATGGGGATAACATCATATTCCCTTTGCACTTGGAGTCATTATGTTAAAGTGTATCGTAGTTTTGATACCGAGCGGAAGATTAGAGAATAAGTGCCCTCAACAGCCGAGTTGAAACTGCGGAGACCGGCGAGCCTAAGGCAAGGGACAGTCCAGATTTGACCCCGCCCGGACCGCTCAAGACATACTTAGCTGTAGCTAAACAGCCCTCCAACATTTACCGTGACACTTTGGAATCATTAAATGCACACACAGATTACAACTAGAATAAGCGACTTTTACCACTTGGCATAGTATCATGGCGGCCAAAACGGACTCGAAGGAGGTGGTTGAGCTCCTGAAAACACTCATGAACATCGAGAGCACTAGTGAGAAAGAACTCGAGATCGGACAATACCTAGAGAAGTATATACAGGGCCGCGGGTTTACCGCAGAACGAATCGCCATCGAACCGGGCTCGACGCGGCACAATGTCTACGCATATCTAGGTCAGGAGCGAAAAGCACGACTGCTCGTCACTGCGCACATGGATACGGTGCCCCCTCACATCCCCTTCAGCATCGACGGCGATGTGATCCGCGGCCGCGGCGCTTGCGACGACTTGGGCCCTATGGTCGCGCAGATATTCGCGGTAGAGGAGTTGCGCGCCGAAGGAAAATTGAAGGAGGGAGACGTGAGCTTCTTATGGGTTGTTGGCGAAGAGAAGGGTGGTCCAGGGATGATTGCCGCGAACGACATGGGGCTCACGTGGGATGCGGGTCTTTTTGCCGAGCCTACAGAGGGAAAGGTGGCGAAGGGACACAAGGGTAATCTGGTGTTTGAAGTGATTGCTCATGGGAAGGCCTGGTAAGTCTTTCTAGGCCTTATTGATTGTACTCATTCGAGAAAGGGAGGACGCGTGTTAACTTGATCATCTGCGCAAAGCCACTCCGGATACCCGCATCTGGGCAAAAGCGCGACGCTGCTTCTCTTCGATGCGATGAAGGGTCTCACAGCAGTCGAATGGCCGGTTTCCGACCTCTTGGGCCCGTCGACTCTAAACGTCGGCAAGATCGAGGGCGGAGCCGGCTACAACATCCTAGCAGCGGAAGCCAAGGCGCTCTGCAGCATCCGTGTCTCGAAGGATGTGGAAGGAATCAAGAAGACGGTGAGGGAGGTGATAGATAAGCATCCTGATGTCGACGTCGACTTCAAGTTCCAGTACTCCGAGATGCTGCTGGAGTGGGAGTTTGAAGGCTTCGAGGCGGAGCCGATGGCGTATGGTACGGATATACCCAGGCTGCGAGGCGACCATAAGAAGGTGCTCTATGGTCCGGGTTCGATTCGGGTGGCGCATGGAAAAGACGAGTACATCCTCGTTAGCGAAATCATGGAGGCGATTGAGAAAAATAAGAAACTGATCCTCGAATTGCTAAAATAGAACGTCCATAAAAGCAATGATAATAAGATTATGTGTAACCCACAACGACATGGATATCTTCGATTAATGGTCAAAATAATATATCATAGAAGATGTCGCTTGAGATAGCTCGCTCTTGACTTAGGCCATTCTTAGGGTGTATTGTGACCTATCTATCTCATATGAGTTGAAAACTTACTGCGGTAGAATGTATAACTGAAAGCTTGCATACCTTGAGAACTGACCACTTGTATACGAAGTGGAGGTGGATGTCTCACAAGACGGGGACCTGTTTTGTTTGGCCTTGTGTTCGTTACCAGGGATACGACGCAAGGTCTGTATTTCGACACCTGATTGCAGTTCTCCTCAGCCTGTTGTCCCGACTCACCCTTCTAAATTTTCCGCGGTGCGCACTTCAAATCCTCTCTACCCACGATCTCAGCTCAACCGACGCTATTCTCGCTCTTACTTGATCCTCTCTATGACCATCAACAAAGATGCTTCCCCAACCGTTCATTTTGCAGCTGCCACTCGAATTATGCGAGAAACTGATCATAGAGGGTCAACTGTCAATTCAAGACATCAGATCTTTGAGACTCACTTGTACCGCTCTTGCTGCTATCGCAAGACCTGCCCTGATCTACGGTCAGGTTGTCCTCTCGCGCTTGACAACGGACCGAGATGAGTTCGAGAAGGTGGTGCAAGATCACAAGATATATGTGCAGGAGATCATCTGGCAGGGACTCGACTTAGACACTTGGGTTAAAAATGGTCGGCTGTGGGAGGATATCCTGCGTGAAGCGCATCCGAATGCGATGTTTCAAAGGGTGGTGCGAGATTCGAAACTCCTTTGGATACCTATCCGTCGAGAACGCGGTATTGAGGAGGATATGGAATGGAAACATATGCAAAAAAGGTCAGCAAAATGGATCAGCAAGCAAATTAAAAGTATGCCGAATGTAACAACCCTTACTATCAAGCCCATGCCCGAAATTCGAGTGTTCGGCAAGATCTTGATGGAGAAGGTCGGTGTCCCCTATGAGGATTGCCAATTCGACCTCGCCGTCGTTCTTTCTGTCCTTCGTCGCCCCTGGTGTAGGGTGCGAACCTTAAACCTGAGCACTAGGTGGCAAGAACAGGATTTTTGGGGCGCCAGGCTCTATCTCGAAGATTCGCCGGCATTCCAGCATCTGACAAGCATTAACATCTGCGCTATGCCAAGAGCAAGTAACGCCGCGCACTACTGTTTTGACTCGTTACTAGCTCACCTTAAGCGGGCTAAGAACTTGAGAAGTTTGAAGCTTTGCTTTTCAAGCAGAAAGGATTGGCAAGTTGCGCAATTCCTTTTGTGCGATCTATTTAAAGAGCGTATATGGCCGCACCTACAATCCTTACACATAGTTGATACCCCGTCTTTCAATACTAAAGACAGTCTTCACCTAGTGTCGCGCCGTCTCCCCGAGTTACGCCATCTCACGTTAGATGACTGCTACGTGACATATGGGTGGATTCGCAAAATGAGAACGCTGCAGACGTACCCCAATCTCGAGTCGATCACCATCCGCAACGGAAAGGCCAACGAGGAGGATCTCGCCGAGCACCTTATATCTGGGGCCAGAATAGTCTCATTCTTGAAGAATGAAGTCGCAGATCTTGGCATGAATTCTAAGAGTGAAAGAGAAATCGTTACGGATATCAAAATGCCTCTGTGTCAATTATGCTCAACCTGTACGGAAGAATAAATAACGTTGACCGGAGGCTATAAGAGCTGCGTACGCGGGCATAACGTATGTAGAATTTACGCTACTTTGGCTGGGTTTAATATTGTTAATATGAACACTGCGCGCTTGCTATACCACAATGATTGGTTCATGGTCGGCACATGAAGTAGAGGCTGAATAAAACAGAAATTGAAAGAAAAAAAAAAAAAAAAAAAAAAAGAAACTCCGAATCGGGGAATCGAACCCCGGGCTTGACGGTACGTAAATGAGAGCGTCAAATGTTAGCCACTACACCAATTCGGATGATGGCGTGTTCAGAAACAGCCACTATATGCAGATCCCGGAAATCTAGTATCCACAGGCGTGGGAAATCGGTGATTAGAGTGCATAGTACAGAAGTATATTTATCATATTGATTTGGGAACTTACATGTATGCTAGCTATCACAGATGATTATGGCATGATTGTTTTTGATAAACTCACCGCCGATTCCCTTGCGATATGGCTGTTCGATTGTATCTGTCCAAATCAGACAGCTTAAGTAATTGTCAGACCGTCAGTTTGTTTTGGTGACGTTCTCTACTGACATCATTCACTACTTTACAGACCGCCGTTGACCAGAACTCTGGGACGACCACATGTAGATGGGTCCGGCACCGGAGCTATCGTCCAGTATTATCCAATAGCAGAATGGGTATTTCATGTGGCAGTTTCATGCAGCGCCCACGCTACTGTACGCTATAGATAAGTTCGCATGCCCTTCACATATCTCAACAGGGAAATGAAAAACCACAGTAGACTTTGAGTGACCTCTGCGGCGTTGCTGTGAGCTCATCGTAGGCGAAGAGCTATTATACCTCCGGGGTCAACCAGCTTTGTCGTTGGCAAGCAGAAGCAAACGCACCTAGGCAACCAACAACCCGACGCATTAACCAGTAGCTGCATGTATTACTACCAACCAAGTTTTAGATCCCGCACTTCTTCTTCTTTTCCCACTTGTATCTCTAATTTTGATCCTCAACCGCTCTACCTCTCTCTGAATCAGACAATATTCGTGACTGACGCCCGAAGCTGCCAAATCCGATATCAATTCTCGTAGGAGCCACTAACAAATCAGAGGCACGATGTCATCAGGCGTTGGCAACGGTGACAGCAATGGCTTCGTCGGTCAGTCATCCCGATTTGCTCTTCCCCATGTGTCGCAAACGCTAACTGAGAGCGCTTTTAGACCCCGGCATCGTGACGACGCCTCAGATCTCCGAGCCATGGACAGTAGAGAAGGTAATTGCAACCCTGTCTCCGGCGCCGCCCGCCGAGGGCACCGACTCGCCTATTCCATATTTCCACATCCTCGAGAGACTCAAGACCAACAAGCGCGAGGGATGGAGACGCTTCAATATTGAGAGGTACCATACCCCGACATGCGTAATCGCCAATATCTGGAGGCTAATGGCAACGTACACAGAGGCGAATCGATATGCGACCACATGTACCGCATGTCCCTCATGACGATGCTCTGCCCCCCCTCGCTCGCGCCGAAGCTCGACCTTTTTAAGTGTATGAAGATGTGCCTAATCCACGACATGGCCGAGTCTATCGTCGGCGATATCACCCCGGTCGACGGTGTATCGAAGCCAGAGAAGAGCCGTCGCGAGGCCGAGACGATGGACTACATATCTAAGAACTTGCTCGGAAACGTCTATGGCGGCTTGGCAGGCGCAGAAATCCGGGAGATCTGGCAGGAATACGAGGATTCGAAGACACTGGACAGCCACTTCGTACACGATCTCGACAAGATGGAACTCCTGACACAGATGGTGGAATACGAGAAGCGCGCCAACAAGGCCCTCGACCTCGGCGAATTCGCCTACGTGGCTACGAGAATAGTGCTTCCGGAGACGAAGAAATGGGCCGAGGAGATACTGAAGGAGCGCGACGAGTTCTGGGGCACCCAGGCGCATGTCCATGGCGAGGCGGGCGTCGACGGCGGCGTCAAAGCTGACAAGCTTAAGAAGCAGGAAGCTTACTACGACAAGGACAGCGAGGTGGCACCTTAGAGAGCCTTGTGTCGGACAATCACAGCATCTTCGGTTCTGGCTTAAGCCATTTGGCTAATTCTCACGTACACTCATACAGGGAACACGCAAGTGCAAGACATTTGGTGGGGTTTGCTCACTCTCATTGTGGCACAGTTAGAAAAGCAGATAGAGCTCATCACTAGAGGCAACGGGGAAATAGATAGACCTATACCCAAAACACTGAAGCAAATTAACTTGAGATTATACTGTGCCTCTTTCAAGGCACGTTATTGTTGAGGGAGAGTGCGTACCTCAGGTGTGCATCCCTACTTGCAGGCACCTACATGATTTACTAACCCCGCGATGCCCCGCCGCAGGGGTCTTTCTCAGTTACTCATCCCAGCACCTACCCCAGCCCAGTTCCAGGCCGTCAACAGGTACCCTAAATAGGAATTATTTAATTAAATGCATGCTGGCCCAGCAACGCGACCACAACAACCAAAGCGAGCTTGTCGAGCGCAAGAGTAGGTCCATTTAGAGGCAGCACAACTCAAACCACACAATCCCTGGGTTTCGCCTGTGTGTGTGGCTTGAAGTTATGCATGATCCGAGATATCTGTCGTTGTCAAATAGACTTCCCGAGCATTCATCCATCCATATGTCACACCGGCTACTGGCATTAGCTCTATTCCAGCTCCAGCTCCATCCCACCCCGGGTCATGTGTCTTGTGTGTAAGGGCCGGCAAGCAGGAATCAATACCTACCGTCTGGCTGTGGTCATCATCCCCGTTAAGCACCCCCTCGCTTAGTCCTCCTCTTCACGCAGGCAGCATAATATCTACCTATATGGTCTGTTGAAGCGTGCGAGCTGCCGGTCCTCGAATAAAACTACACAGCAGCAGTTCAACGCGAATATCCGATCGCAGCAATTATAAGCATTATACGACTTCAAGATTTGTCGCGAACCATCGAATCACGCGCTCCCCAGCCGTCATCGGTGCACCGCGCCACAGACATTCACTACAAACTAATCACCTCCAAGAAAACCAAAGCAACATAGCGACACGAGATTTGACGGGAATTTGCACATTCTGACATTCTTATCGAGCGAGTTAGCGAACGACCTTCCGAAGCCATTCGGGTTTTGTTTTATGTACATATTGACCGAATAAGCCATCGCGACACTGAGGCCGCGCGTTAACGTTTCCACGACTGCCCTTCCGCCAGCCTCACGTTCGCTCCTCCTTCCAACCGAGTACACCACTCTCCATATCCATCCATCTAAACACCTCACTAGAAATGTCATACAATTCTCAGATCCTCATGTCCGGCACCTTTCATCTCGACCTGCCAAATGGTGGCGGTGGTAGGGGCGCACCCTTTCCAGGCGTGCATCCGGGACTCTTTCGACCCCCGGCATCCCCGTCTGTGTCGAGCTCCATGTATCTCGGAAGGTCGACGGCAAGCTTGCAATCAGAGATACCCACGCCCATCTCAAACGCTAAGAGGAAGCGAATAGGTGCAAGGGAGTCCACACCCGTCAGGGACTGGGCAATGACGGGAGACGGAAACTTCAACACGGATCATATCAATGACGGTCGCTCCTACTTTGACTTTCATACAAACGGAAACGAGAAGCGATATGTGCTGGCTGGCCAGATAGAAACACCTAGCGGAGCCATGCAGAAGGAGCTTGGACATATGGAGGATAGCGTTTATTCTGATGTCGATTACAGGCGTGCCCTCGGATCTAAACGATCGCGCAATGACGTCGACTCGCCGGCGTCGAGGCCCATGATACTCGAATTGGATAATCAGATCTCCACTGGCTGGGGTTCCTATGCAATCAGTACAATCGGCGGTGTGGTTGGCAAGGTCTGGGAATTCTGCAAGACTGGCGCGTTTCGAGGTTTCTACGCTGGAGGCGGAAGGGGATACGAGGTATCCCAGGAAACAGAACAGCAGTCAGCCAACAGTCAGGTAGGATGGGGTCTTAGCCCTTTATCAGCAGACCTCCCTCAGCCCGACGATTCACAATATTATTATGAACACGACACACCCGAGTCAACACCACCACCGGCAGCAAAGCGAAGACAGATATCGCATGGAACTCATACTGATGAGCTGCGCAAGAACTGGGTCATGATTGATGAGCCAGCTAACGTGAGCCGACAGCCTTCGCTAGCATCACGAGCGTCATCCCGCCGCCCGGTGCAACGAACGGCATCGCCATCACTTGTTCGCCGCATCAGCAAGCCCGTTAGCCGTCTCAATGCGCCGAATTTCAACCGTCATCCTCCGACTCCTACCCGACCGACCCGACCGAGCCCGGCTCCCATCTCGACCCACGAGCCCGCCAGCTTTGCATCCACCAGGTCTCCAGCTACATCACCTGCCATGATAGCGCAGGCCCCCAGCAGAATTCCCGTTCCCTCTCGACCACAATCCCCCAGTCCTTTTGGGGCAAGTCATTTGACACAGCAGCCATCTCGAGCATCGAGCCCGAGCCCCTACGCGAAACGCGAACGCGGTCACCGGCGGTCCCAGAGCGCCATGTCGGCCTCGTCGATCTCACCTATGAAGGTGACGAAGCGAGAGTCCATGCACGAGAAGCGCGACAACACCCCGCGGCTAGATGCCAAGGCTAGAAGCCTGGCAGCAAAGCGAATGCAGGAGGAAATGGAGACAGATATGCGGATTAATGATTTCAACTCTCGTCTACGGGACATGATTCGCCAGGGTAAAGAAGCCCTGGGCACGACGTTCGAAGTGGAGGGAGACGATGAAGGCGGTCGTGGCGGAGATCCATGGGAGAGTGAGTAATGGCAAATTTAGTTGCTGCTGAATTCTTTACACCACATTGGGACAGCTCGCTAACGGCGACGTCTCGCTTGCGTAACTGGCGTCCGTTCACACAGCTGATAATCATATCGCTGCCGACGTCCTAGACTTTGCCTTTTGCGCTTTTTACGTCCTGAACAAAAACGGCTCCTGTGTATATACGTGTAATGACTCTCATGATGCGATGGCTTATGGTTTGCGGTCTCTGCAGCTTCTGTATGATACGACGCACTTGTATTCGTCCCACTCGTTTATGTATATTGATCATTCAAAATTGATGAGCTTTGCACGTGGATTTGTGCGATGGCATTAGTAGTATAGAGAATCAAAATGAGAATGAAAGTCACGGATCAGGGTTGACAATTTCACTAGTGGACTTAGCATGGGTGAATGGTGACAAGTTGAGTAGTAAGTAGTACATGAGTCAGCAGGAGTAAAGTATCA